TACGGGGGGCCCAAAAAAGTCACTCCGACTGAGTCACATATCAGTAAAGTTTTTGCAGCCCAGAGAGAAGATGTGGATACGAGTACCAGGGCGGAGATACCCAAGATGTTCCTCGATAAGCAGGAGCTAGGCCCTCGCCCATCACCTTCATGTACACCAAAATATGAGGTCATCTCCAGTCGCAGCCTGACTAGCAGAAGACCTTTTTGAAATTCATGTCACCTCCAAACAGCTGCGAAACTTCTAGTGTGGAGTCACCCATGGATAGCTACCTGGAGACCAGTACTCTCGATCTGGAAGACCTCCAACATCGAGCAGCTCCGACAACGTCGCTACGGTCTAGGACATCATCTTCACGGCAGTCGCCAAGGCGCGGGTTGATGGTATGGACCGGACGCACCTGGAATGGAAAGACCAATATTTTCTTCGTGGACCCCGGGCTGAAGCTGAGCGCTGGCGATTACATCGACCAACTCAAGAAGAATATCTTCCCCACATGTCGTCGCCCGTACCTTCTTGGAAACTTTGTACTGCTACAGCATTGGGTGCCACCACGTGGAATCGAAGGGCGTTGGAGAAACTCTCGCCTACCTGGAATGGAAGGGGGCTGAGTACCTAAAGAAGAATATCCGAGTCAGGTCAGCTTACCCCTCCGAATTCCCCTAAATTACCGTCAGGTCCGGGCGAGTTCAATAGGGGTGCGTCTACGGTGGCGGAGAAATCGACTATCTCGCTGATCTCAGGGACCACATCGCGGTTGCGTGCCAGAATCTCTCGATGGCGCTCCTCCAGAAGGCTGTGGCGGAGTGTCATAATAGTATTTAATATGCTCTTTAATATGGTGGTAGAAATGTCCGATCAGAATTTATAAAGGCTGTACTTATAGCGCACTCGAAAGTCATGAGCAAAGTGACTTCCTTTTCTGGGCCCCCTGTACAGATCCCTTGACCCACCATCTCGTGATGGCGAATGAGCGCGGGTTTTAACCTCCCCCCCCTACGACTTTCTGAAGCAAACTGTTATTAACGCGATATATTGCGCACATCTCCATTCTGCCTGCCCGTCATACGTCTCCGTTTTGTTATAGCTGCCCTTTACAGAAGTTAAGTTGGGTACCTTTTGGGACGGATGGCTGTGCCCGAGCTCCTGATTGGTTCGGATTCGTGGAAAAGTTACATCTATGCACGCTGTCCTGATCCACTGTCGGATAAAGATTAAAAGCCGGGCTTTGAGAATTCTGGCACCAATTAAATGACCCCGTAGATGTCTCCCTACCCCCGTAATGTGAAGTGTGGATATCGCCAGTTCCAGACCCAAAAGATTGGTCCGAGTTTATGAACTTCTTACCTAAAAATGGTACAGGGCTTACTGTCCTTTCATCTGCCGGACTTCGTAACAAATCTGTGTCGTTGAAAACCCGGCAATTTTTTTATTTCAAACCATCCATTCATTCGTCCGAAATGACTTTTTCTTTATATCTATTCAGAATCATTTATATTTAGCCATCTGGATCCCAACTTGGCCGTGTAGATGCGCTGCTGGAATCAGCGAATGTAACCAGTAACTACTCTACAAAGGCACCATTTTGGCTCAGTGCTTTACGAACGGATGGTGAAATACGACGATCTCCACCTAAAAGTGACTACAGAAACAGAGCAGTATCGCTGAAGAAACGATATCCAGCTCGCATGTTTGCAGTGCCACGCTATGCGGTAAGTTATTTATTCAGAGTTACCAAAGAAGATTGGTGTCGCCCTCCCCCCCCCCCCCCCTCCCCTCCACTTCTACGGCAGGTTTTTTTTGGGAAAAAAGAGGGAATTTTCGAACTCTGAATTATGAATTCCTGATTTGAAAGTGGTTTAGGAATCTGGGGGAACTTTGAAGCTTAGGAATAAGACAGTCGGTAGAAGGAGGATGGGGAAAGGGGGTTGCGCCAAAGGAGGTGGTTTTGAGAGGGGTGTCGTATTTTACAAAAATTTTCACAAATGCAGGACGTCCCTTATCGCAGTAGTGAAACTTATGGGAGGCGCAGTTTGACGACGGGGGGGGGGGGCATTTTGTACTATCATTGCTTCCTTAGTTCCGGTTTACATGTCTCACTCTGGCGAAACCTGTGAACTCTTGTGAAGCTGGAACAAGGTCGTCAAGCCATCATGTTAAAACCTGTCAACTCGAGAAGAGGATAGGTCGACACGTCGATGGAAAGAGCATAAGTGCAAAATGCCCCCCCCCGTAGTCATGCGCCCTTATGAGATACGAGTGATGTCGATCTTTTCGTCCTGTAACACTCATAGTCAGACGGCCCGGCAGGCAAGGCAACTCGCCTCTCGCGTGGTGGCGCCGCTCGCGATAGATTACTATTGTCTTGTACGTATCCAGTGGTGTCACAAGGAGAAAATGGTGCATTCCGCAATAGTAACAAGGGCGGGACCCTCACTGGCGCGCTCCTCTCCTCTACAGGCTATCGGTGCTGGAAACCCTAGGGCATTTCTTGACCTTTTGCACTTTTTTCATATTAGTTGGATTGTCGGAAAGTTTCTCAGCTCAAAGTTTTGTACACCTATTTTTTGGTATTCATTTCACTGCTGATTATAAAACTCTTCTGCCACTGCTTCTACCGTCTCATACCCATTCCTGTAGAGAATTTCTTGCGCTATCTGATGGTATAATTGCCGTTTCACCATTGCTTGATAAACCCCTTTTTTCAAGATTTTTTCAAGCATGTGAAAAGAGCACTTCGGACGATTTTTTTCTTCGACTATAAATTGGGGCAATCCGCAATCGAAACAGCTCAACAAATTAACCAGGTGTGGGGGCCCAATAGTGCTAGAGAAAGCACTGTGCGGCAATGGCTCAACAAATTTCGTTCTGGAGATTTCAGCCTTGAAGATGAACCTCATAGCGGTCGACCTAAAGCAATATCTGACGAGGATTTTAGGGGGATTTTGGAGGCTGACCCATCCCAAACAGTTCG